TAAATGTTACTAAAATGTTATGATTTTAGAAATTTCTCTGTTGTTCAGCTCTGAAATTATTCTAAAACAATTATTCACCTCAGGTTCAGTGAATATTGTTGAATAATTTCGTCTCGGGTATTTGACCATATTCACCTAGCCTTCGGCAAATAATTGTTAATATAAACTGTTTAGTTGGTCTCCAGTAAGTGACATTTGTATTTCCACACTGGTACTGGTGTCAGCATTAACATTACTATTTTCCAACTGTTCTTCAAATTTAAAGTTTGCTTCCAGTGGTAATTGAGCAAGTGTTGTTTTTCTTTTTTTGGTTTGCTCCATTTTCTGCGCATCTTCAAAACTGGCCCTCTTGAGTTCTCTATGTGGAGCTGTCGGTTTTGTCCATGGAAAAATTGAAGGCAAGTGTGTTCTGCTTAGGTTTTCTCCTATATTGAAATGAGCTGAGCAAATCTGCGTACTCATAGAATCTAATTTCAGCGTCTCATTCCTCATAAGAATCACGTACTTTCTACGTATATCACGATCTTTAGAAATTCTATAATATTGAAGGTTAGGTGCATTTCTGTAACTATTAGTGCAGCCTGGAATACAGCAGTTATAGTGCGCCATGTTTGTTTACCTTGATGCTGTCCATCCAAACGATCCCAAGAGCCTTTATGGTGGCAAATCGTACCCAGACGGCCGCTTGTTTAGAAAATGGCGAGTGTTTGACAGCACCTCTTACAAATGATTGGCTACCATCCTGGTTGAGATTTCAACTGACTATTAGAAAAAGTTATGGCCCCCCATTGTCTTAAGAGATATGTCAGTGAACATTACACCACAAAAAAAAAAACATGATCAACCAAAATAAGGAACACCATGATTAACAGCTTTTACATCTACTCTTTTGTTACAAACATCAATAATTTCTCCTTCCAACTAGTGTTTTAACATTTCTCACCTATAAGGTACACCAGGTAACCTCCACCCTGGTCCGAGCTCAGTCGGTGCCAGTTTATATACTTCTGCTGTTGGGTTAGTAGGATTCACAGATATCTCGATGCTCGTGGGAGCACTTGTATTGTAGACTGCATTACTTCTTTGGCTGAACTTTCTGGTTACACGGTAATTTAAGAGAGCTATAATGTCTCCTACATGTAGATAATTATACAACAGCACCCAAAACGAACTCCATATACAAACAGAAACAGTCCCAGTCCGATCCTCCAGCTCAAGGTACGCTTGATAGGGATATTTTCTATTCTCGTCTGAAGCTTTTCCATAGTGATTGAGCCTAGTTTTACTAACCACTCTCCCAATAAGGGCTGGAAATGGACGAGGAAGAACTTTCCAAAACATATCAAGATCATGAACTGTAATTGCATCAGTAATGGGGTTTGCAGGATGCAAATCTGGAGCACTAAACCATCTTGCTCCAAAGTAGTCTTCGTCGTTCCATAACGGTAAGTAATAACCGCGAGAAGCTGCCAGTGGTATTTCCTGCTTTTCATTAGGTGTTGCACCTTCGCAAAATTGGATTTCCTCTCGGTTAACTTCAGTATTCTCTGGCGCCAAATTTAAAATTTGAATATTTTGAAGAATGACGTACGGTACTTGTTCAAACGATTCTTCGTCGATCAAAGAGCTGCATTCAGTAATAGTCACAACAGAGTTTTCTCGCAGTTTGTTTTCGTAAACTAGTAAATTTAAAGAAGTTGACAACAAGCATTTCGTCTTGTAACGACCATCAGTTATGACAATGTCAAAAGCATCAGTAAAATCAGGGTCCAGAATTGGAAAGCTCTTGTCAACAACGTATCTGAACATGTCCAAAACTTTCACAGTAAATACTTCCTGTATTTCATCTCTGCCTGCAATGGCTTTTATCTGTGAAATACAGCCAGGAGTAAGCATATTCAACTGGATTGATACATGTACGTTTGGATGAAGTCCGACGCCATTTCTCCCATTTCAAACGACCTCTTTCCCAGGCCCACGTCAGACACTATTACGCGATCACGAGTAACGCCTGGACAAAAATATCTCGTGACACTCTGCCCGTAAAGATCAATCCGTAAACATTGACGTAAGTGTTGTAACCACGGAAATTATGGCTCGAATCGTTGAATGTGTTCCAAATTTTTCCGAAGGACGAAATAAAGAGGTGATTGACGCCATTGCACAAGCTATTGCTTCTGTTGATGGCTGTTCACTCCTTGACGTGGATCCAGGCGTGTCCACAAACAGGACGGTTTACACATTTGTCGGTTCGCCTGAAAGTGTGGTGGAAGGAGCTTTGAATGGAGCAAGAATGGCAATGCAGTTGATCGACATGACAAGTCACCAGGGTAATGCTATTTTTTAAGTTTAAGTTATTTTTTCTTGAATACATAGCGAATATGAATTATTAATTTTGAACATGAAGTCTCGACAAATACATGTATTAAATTGCGTTAATTTTTTTTCTGTATCAAATTAAGATTTTTTGTATTTCTTGTAAAAATAATTTAGAAAATTGTTAAGAATTAAAGTGGCGTTCATTATAGTTGTAGTATTTCCTGCTTAATATTTACAGAGTGAGATTATTTTTGGTTCAGATAACTCGTAGATATGAGAATGTATAATTGAACAGACCTGTGTTTACGACAATTATCAGCCTTTTCGTTCATGGACAATTTTATCTGATCCTATTTTACTGGATGTAATAAGTTTCAAAATTCTATCTGCTGTGATTCACTTTGAATATTTCTTACAATATTGTTGACAGCGTGGTGCTCTCGATAAAGTATTCCTTTAATTGCAAAATGTCAAAGTCTTAGGCGCGCTATAAAATGAGCCTTAGGTCCCACTGGACCATTTGTCAATCAACCGTCGTGTGATGTAGAGCTCTTATAGTCAATTAGTCAGCTTGAGCTAAAGCTACTCCAAAGCAGTGAACAGCGGGTGCATTCCTCAAAATTGTTTTATGTCTTCATCACAATACAAGAATTTTTGAGATTTGTATTTCCTTTCTCCAATGGAGACTGTCTTTATTTGTAGCAGTAAATTTGAGATCGAAGTAGGTGGTTCACTTGTTACCTCATGCCACCATGCTGGTGGAAGTAAACAATAGATATCTCATTAGCTCCTTTTGTTCGTCTACCAGCATTTGAAGTTGACCTGCACAGATCAACGGTGAGTGACAAATGAGCCTAGGTCTTCCCAGGGTAGACTTCCTTATATAGCGTGCCTTCGTGTTTAAGTAACAAGCTAGATATGCTAATTTACTTCACATTGCAAATGCATGTGCACTAAGCTATGTATGCTAATTTGTTGCATGTTACATGTGAACGTGCAACAATATCAGACAGTGCAAGCAATTCTTTTACTTAACTGATTATCATTGTTTGATCTTCAACAAACATGTACCATTCCTACTTTATGACTGCCTTATTTACAGAAACACGAAAGACCTGTGAAGCAAATTTGTAAGAGTGAAGGGGGAGAGAGGGAAGCGGTGGGACATGCAGCTACCCAAGGGATAAACTGTTAGGTCACCTGTCATAGAAATATGACAAAATTCTGAAGGGGGGGTAGGGGATAACTTTTGGTAGACTTGAATCTTGTCAAGAGGAGGTATAAATATACCCAGTCATTCTAGTTGACAGGAACAAGCTGGAATAACTTTTGGAGATATGAACAAATTGGCTCTTATAGGACTAAACCTGTACCAATTTTGTTCTATTTTATTTTGATTAAGAGTTCCCACATTGATGAAAATAGAAGCACTTTGATTTTAGGAGAACATAAAAGGCTTGGTGCCTTGGATGTGTGCCCTTTTATTCCTGTCCAGGGAGTAACTATGGATGACTGTGTTCAGTGTGCAAAAATATTTGGAGAGAGAGCAGCTATGGAGCTTGGAATACCAGGTATCTGGAAATTGATACTTGTGTGAGTCCAATGAGATTGATAGTCAATAGTTAATAACATTTTTAGTTAGTTGCTACAAGCAAACTTCTCTTTAAATCCCAAATTTGGAAGTCAATGTTACGAAGAACTTGAAAATTGAGGATTAATAAAGTGAGAACAGAAAACTGAAAAACAATGTAAAACTTGAGAGACTCGGTTTCCTCAGGTAGGAAAGCTAGCTAAGAAATTGTTAATTTTTTTCTTTTTAGTTTATTTGTACGGGTATGCCTCTAACACAGAGTATCGAAAAACTGTCCCACAAATAAGGGCAGGGGAGTATGAAGGACTTGCTGAAAAGGTAAATCCACGTTATAACTTGAAATGTTACACTCTTCTTATTTTTTAGTATGTAATATTAAACTAAACTATGAAAATAAGATCTAAACTATTGGACAATATAAATAATATGACTAAACTATATTGTCATGAGAAATATTTTTTATGGTGAAAATGATGTGTAACCTTTTGACTGACTTGCATTAAATTATGAGCCATCTTAGAAAAAAGTAAATCTTTGTTTAATTATAACATATTACATGCCATTGTGAACTATGTATGGTACGAGAATTTATCTAGCCATTAAAATTGTCACTTTTATGCTTTATACAAATTAGCTTGAATTTTCACAAAGTTGGGCACCATATCAATCCCATATGGTGGTCTAACCATTCCATATCTTACCCATATATGGGCCATGTATGGGCATATCATATAATTTGGCATATCAAACCCATATTTTACTTTGGTAAGGGAATGGATGTTTTGAGAGGTGATGATGTGGTTCAGAAAAAGTTGACTGTGCAGGAAATTATTAAATTGAAGGCAACCAGAAAAAGCTCCACCTGTTTTAAACCCGACCACTCTCAAAATCTCAGTTATTTAGCAATTCTTCTCATCATTTGCCATTCAATTCTTTTGATGGTAGTTTGGAGAATAATTATCCCCTATTTGATATCTTTATTTTTAATGATTTTTGTCATTTTTCTGCTTGTTATTGTCTTGATATTGTAAATAGAAATTTGGTCTTAGTCACCCATGGGAATTAAAAGGCTTAAAATTCCAAAATCATATTTACTCCAATAGATAAAGAAATCAGAGTGGAAGCCAGACTTTGGTCCAGCTGAGTTCATTCCCACCTGGGGAGCTACCATTGCAGGAGCAAGGAAGTTCTTGATTGCATACAATATTAACATTTTGGGGACAAAGGAACAAGCCCACCGCCTGGCGCTGAACCTAAGATCACAAGGCAGAGGTCCTGATCAGGTGAAAATTAAGTGAAATTTTATTTTGATCCATTTAAATTTCAATTAACTTTAAGACTGTAGTTTCTGTCATTTTATGCCTGATCACAGTTGTTGAAGTTATGAATTAAAGCTGATTGTCTATAACACCTCAGTCATTAGTTTTCCTATAATTTGTTAATGAGATTGCTCTGATCCCTCAGTCTGGTTCCTTAATTTAAAAAACAAAGAATAAAATGCCTTCTTCAGCAGTGTAGGCATGCTTTTGATGATGAAAAATATTCTTGGGAAACAAGAAATCTCTGTACACTACCACAAGAACATGTCTGAAGCCTGACTCAAAATTTCTCACCATGCTAGCCCACACAAAAGAAATGCAAAGGCAAATTGAAACAATATTCATGAGAAAACTTTAAAACTACCTATAATTATAAATGAACATGATTATCAAGCTAGTTTAGATTGGTAAGTATTGTCTTTGACTATTGGGATTATTGTGGCTCTGATTCTATTACTCTCTGTCAAAAAGCTCTGTCAATGAAAAATTGAATAGTGGTAAGCAGAAGAAATGAAATTAAAAATTGAAACAGCTTCAATATGAACATTACCCGTTAAATGTTCAGCTTTTGAATGTCTCTCTTTTTGTTCACAACAGCCTGGCCGCCTCTCTGAATGCCAGGGCATGGGCTGGTATCTGGAAGAAGCAAATGTAGCTCAAGTGTCTTTAAATCTTCTGGACTATCGTCAAGCTGGTATGCACACTGCCTTTGAGGGGTGTGTGAATGATGCAAGGGTATGGAGTTGCAATGATGTGTGTTTGAATCTTGTACATATCATGCACCGAGAGAAGCTTTAAGATTTCATGACAATGTGAAAATATGATGACCATTGAATACTGGGAAATAAACCAGAGAGTGAGGTGATAATTGTCTAATAACCTATCCTAGCAGTATAAACATGAAGTCTGTCACCATGGACGGAATGATGTGTCTCCAGTAGCTCAGTGGTAGAGTGTCTGAAGTAGTTGGAAGGTCATAGGTTTGAGTCCTACTTGAAGAACCACAATTGTGATTGCAAGAAATATGTCATTCATCAGATAACCCCATCTTTCTCCTGATAATTACAATGTATCTAGTCATCTGAAGTAATGACCTTCATTAATGAAAGATTTGCTATTGTTCATAGGCAGGCTTTATTAGTTTGTTTTGTGTTTTTTCATGATTTATGTTTTGCCTCTGTCTCTTTTTGTTAACTGGCATTCACTCTCAAGCTCTCATTAATAGTTCTCCTTACTGTCTGCCATATAACTCTTATGATGTTATTTCTGAGAATTTGATATTGGATCAACTGATTATCTCTCAATTGAATTATTTCTTTATTCTCAGTACTTGTGTGTTTGATATTGTAAGGAGAAATTACATCTTGGTCACCTATGGGAATTAAAGGGTTGAAAGAAAATTGGGCAATCCCAAACGTGTGGCGAGGCCCATCTTATCAGAGGTTGCAAAATAGAGGTTTTAAAATATCTAAAAAAAAATAAAATAGAGGTTTAAAAATATATTATAAAATAGAGGTTTTAAAATATCTAAAAAAAAGTTGTTTGTTTTGCATCCTTTTTTTACTGAAAAAAAAAATTGGGCAATGCCAAACAGGTGAGAGGACCATGTTACCAGAGGTAGCAAATGGAATGTAACCATAATTCATTTTAGTCAAGGGGTTTTCATACAATATCTAAAACATTGTAAACAGCTGACAATTTTAGAACCAACTTATTCTTTATAGTTACAAAAATGTAAGGATGATCAACATAACTGCATTGCATTGTCATTTTCTTGTAGGAACTGAAGCTTGCTATTTGTGGATCACAGATTGTGGGCCTTGTACCCCTGGAAGCCATGCTATTGACTGCTGACTTCTACATTGAGAAAGAAAATCTTTTTATTGTGGGTGAAGATCAAAAGATTCGCTTGGTAGGTTGCTTAATATGTTCCGTTTAATTAAAAATAACACGCAGAGCTTGTGGGAGATAAAATCAAAATCCAGCTTACCCTTTGGAAAGACATTTTGGAATGGCAATAATGGCTTGTCTTGAACTGAAGTAGACACTTTGCTACGGTTTTTGTAGTAAAAGTAGACAATTTGCTTGGGGGTTGGGGAAGGTGGGGTTACTTGGGGTAATTTTTGGTGGTCTCTGAGAATCCCTGTCACTGTACAGTCTATTTTGTGGCCAATTGCCATCCCCGTCAAAGTCACTTTGGGGTAAATTTAACTTTCGCAATCTCAACTTATTCAACTAAACAACTTTTTGACTGCGATTCTTTCCAGTTGTAAATCCCTATTTACCAGAATTTTCTTACCCCCCAAGATGCAGCCCCATCTAGTGGCACATCCCCATTAGCAAATTTCTAAGAATTCCCCCTCGGACAATTTGCAGATCATGTATCTTATGGAGGGCCTCGACCGATATATCGGTCGATATA